CATGCAATACTGATCTTGATTGGCTGGTACAGTGGGCAGAAAGGTGGTGGCTGAAATTTAAAAAGGGAAACATAGGAGGTGGCAATATCTAAAGGGTGCTGGATCTTTGAGAATAGGATGCTAGAGTGATGGGGACTGGGTGGTAATTGGACAGCCCGTTCAGTGGGCCGAATAGCCGCCACCTTGTTCAGTATCACTGTGGAGCTGGAGGAATGCAGCAGGCCAGGCAGCATCAGAGGAGCAGGAAAGTTGTCGTTTCTGAAGAAGGATCCTGACCCAAAACGTTAGCTTTCCTGATCCTCTGATGCTGCCTGGCCTGCTGCGTTCCTCTAGCTCCACACTGTGTTATCTCTGACTCCAGCATCGGCAGTTCCTACTATCTCCTTGCTCGGTATCACCGTGCGATGAGAGTGAGTGAACCGTTCACTAAGCTGCAGCGCTGACTGTGAGTCTCTGCAATCTCTCCCCTCTCTCGTCCTAGATGCAGATGAAGTTCCTGGTGGAGCAGATGAGTCGACCAGATTACATGGAGGCTCTGCAAGGATTCATCTGTCCACTCAACCCCGTGCACCAGCTAGGCAACCTGAGGTAAAATCCCTGCTCTTCCCACCCCCCCGCTCCCAATCCTCGTGTCCCTGCCCGCCAAATCATTGCTCACAGGAGTTCTGCACTTCGATGAGGGTTCCCACTTGAGACAGTCGTCTGATTTGGGTTGGAGCAGGAGGATAAATGCGAGCATCCCCAGTAACTGTTCTCTCATCCTGGAGAGAGGGGGCACTTGGTACCTGCTGGTTATCTTTGAGTTCAGTGACCAGTGGGCACCACAGGAGCCTGAGCTACGTGCATGTTAGAATTAGTTTCGTCGTCATGTGTGCTCGAGTACAGGAGGACAGTGAAATGTGTACAACATCGCCAAACAGGGCATCATGTTACAAATCTTACCTTCAAATATGCTAGGTACAAAAATACAGAAAAGCTAAAAGTTGTACGCTGCAGTTCTTCATGGTGTGAGTTAGAAATAAATGTTGCAGTCCTTCCTATAGCCTGCAGTCTGTTCATGCAGTGGGGGCTTCCCACACGTTGTCCCCCTCGCGCTCTCCTGCACTCCAGATTGGCGATAGGCTGACCGCTCTGGGTCCCGGCCCACCCCTGCTTCGTCCTCGGGCCTAGCTGCCACTGCGGTCCCTCCGCTGCCACAGCACTGCCACTCTCTAAACAAACCAAGGTCGGTTTATATTTTAAAATAAAAAATGTAAAAAAGAAAACCAGGGGTTGGGGGGGAGAATAAAGAGAAGCGGACGGAAAGGTTGAGTCCTCGTGCTGCTTACTTCGCTGCCGCCGTCTTGCTTTTTTTAAACTGAGTTGCTCGGTTAACCCCGTCAATAAACCAGCCTTTCGAAGGAAAAGATTCTTATCTAGGTTCGCAATGGCATGGGATTCACTTCACGCGGGGCGCGCGGAGGGGGTGTCTGCATTGGGCCGTGCTGTAAAATCCCACTCTCAGTCCGATTCGGACTTGTTGCTGTTGTCCTCTTCCCAGGCTGGAAGAGTGCAGGATCATGTCCTCAGCGAAGCGGCCCCTTTGGCTGAACTGGGAAAACCCGGACATCATGTCGGAGCTGCTCTTCACCAACAACGAGATCATCTTCAAGAACGGGGACGGTGAGCTCTCGCATCCCTGCGCTGCTGTCTAGCCCCCCACCTCGGCAGGTTTGAGACTGTGGAGACCCCCAGTAGCCCAGCACTGGGGGACTGCCTGTGGGGTGGGGGTCGGCCTCCTCGAGATATTGAACAGAGGAGTCTGCCTGCTCCCTCCCTATCTCCTTCCTAGTGACTCTACCCCTCGACCAAAATCACTTATAAACACACAAAAAATACTTAGTTTGTGGGCTGTTTAAATTCTGTGGGAGCTTGCTACGCACAGATTTCGCTGTGCTGGTTTCTACACTTCAACAACAACTCCACATCATCCAACACCACCCCATTCCCACCCAAAAAAAAGCACTTTTTTAGCTGTAAAGAGCTTTGTGAAAGCTTGCAATTAGGGGAGAATGCTAGTCAAAGGTGTAGAATCAGTTCTTGCAAGCATTTTTTTTTTGTTGTTGTTGAATGCAAGGATTCATCTATCCACTCAACCCTGTGCACCAGCTAGGCCACCTGAGGTAAAATCCCTGCTCCTCCTCTGCAGTGTCCCTGCCCTTTTCATCAACCAGGGAAACGAAGAGTAGTGAGAACAAGGGGAGGTGTGCAAAACTGTGAACCCCTACCCTGGGAATAATCTCCACCCAAGTCTCTATCTGGGGTTTCCTTTTCAATTGGCTGCATACCAAACTTTAGTTGTGTGTTCTCTGGTGCCATTTCTACCCAGCCGGGGCTGCCTATCGTTGCTCGAACCCTGTTTATTATTTTTCCGTTTTTTTTTTTTTTCTCTCTCTTTCTCTCCCCCCCGCCATGTGGAATTAGGGTGGCACAGTGACTCAGTGGTTAGCATGGCACCGGGGACCGGGGTTCAAATCCACCCTTGGGTGCCTGTTGTCAAGCTCCACACGGATTCTCCCTGTGTCCGCATGGGTTTCCTCCCACAGTCCAAAGATGTGCAAGTTAGGGTGGATTGGCCATGCTAAATTGTCTCGTAGTGCCCTGGGAAGTGCCGGGCGACTGGGTTGGCCGTTCTTCAGGGGGTCAATGTAAACTCAATGGGCCGAATGACCTGCTTTCCACACTGTAGGGGCTCTATGAATGAGGTGCCTCCTGATGTGTTGGTGCTCAGAGATTTGCTGTCAGCGATCAATCCTGTTGTTCATCCTTTTTTTGTTTTTTGGTCAAATGATGAGGAGTAATGTGGTTCTGTGACCAGCTGCATGTGTGTCTCTTACAGACCTGCGACAGGACATGCTGACGTTACAAATCATTCGAATCATGGAGAATATTTGGCAGAACCAGGGCCTGGATCTCCGGTATGTACAGAATAGGCTGCATAAACTCTCTGTCCACACTCTGGTCCTTTATAATGCTCCGATAGTTAATGTAGAAACGTATCTTGCCTGATGGCTGTGCAGCATACAGCAACAATGACCCTTGCTCCGGTTCTGGGTGCAATGCAATACGTTTAGGCTAACTGAAGGGGGCAGGATTTCCCCACCCGTCCGTGAGCCTGGTCATTGGCTCTCGTCTTTGAAGGCAGAACCTGAGTGGACCATCAAAACCCTTGCCTACCGTGGTTACTCCAAGCTGGGTGAAAGAGAGGAAGCTTCAAGATAGAGAGACGCTCCAATTTCAAAGTTTAAGTCAGAAACTAGCATCTGTGACCAGATGCACATGTGGTTGGAGGTGGGCAAGGGAGGGATGCAGGGGGAAAAGGCCACATTTAGACCCGATTAAACATTAAAATGGCACTGTAACAGAAATTGACAGTTCAGAGCACCTTTCACATCAGCATTACAGCAGTTTTTGTTCCTAGATGTTGCACTCCAGCACCCCTACAATACTCAGGTTATGGAAACGTTAGAGATAGGAGCAAGAGTTGGCCACCTGGCCCCTTGGGCCTGCTCTGTCATTCAATAGGATCATGGCTGACCTCTTTGTGGACTCAGCTCCACTTACCCACCTGCTCACCCCAACCTTTAATCCCTTTCCTGTTCAGCCCAGAGGTTACTGGTAGACGCTGTGTGTGCCTAATTCCTGAGGATACTTAGACAAGGATGTAACCACAGAAGAGTGAAGTCACCTGATGAAGGAACAGCGCTCCGACAGTTTGTGATTTCAACCTGTTGGACTATAATCTGGTGTTGCGTGACTTCTGACTAACATACTTAGAGCACTGAAACAGACCCCTCGGTCCAACCATAATCCCAAACTAAACCAGTCCCACCTGTCTGCTCCTGGCCCATATCCCTCCAAACCTTTCCTATTCATGTATTTATCCAAATGTCTTTTAAATGTTGCAACTGTACCCACATCCACCACTTCCTCTGGAAGTTCATTCCACACTCTAGCCACTCTATAAAAATTGTCCCTTATGTATTTTTTAAATCTTTCTCCTCTCACCTTAAAAACTTGCCCCTTTATTAGTCTTGAAATCCCCCACTCTAGGGAAAATACACCTGCCATTCACTCTATCTGTATCCCTCATGATTTTATAAACCTCTATAAGGTCACCACTCAACCTCCTATGCTCCAGTGAAAAATGTCCCAGCCTCTCCTTACGACTCAGTTTTCATTCCTGGCAAATCTCTCCTGAACCCTCTCCATCTCAATAATACCCTTCCTATAATAGGGTGACCAGAACTGGATATAATACTCCAATCAATACCCTCCACCTGTTTCACTTTAACATTACAATAAAGTTTCTTTTTCTTCTCGCGCCCGCTCTCTCGTTGAAGGATGCTGATGCTCACAGTCTGTTTGTTGCCAGGATGCTGCCCTATGGGTGCCTGTCGATAGGTGACTGTGTGGGTTTGATTGAGGCGGTCAGGAGTTCTCACACGATCATGCAGATTCAGTGCAAGGGCGGCTTGAAGGGAGCTCTGCAATTCAACAGCCACACGCTGCACCAGTGGTTGAAGGACAAGAACAAAGGAGAGGCGTAAGTCCTGCTTTCTCATCTCTCCCACCTGCTCTGTGTATCTGAGCCAGCCCGGGAGGTTAGGGGATGTCTGTGTCAGTGTACCGTTTTGCAAGTTGGCCGTTGTGGGCTAGCTCGGGGTAAGATGGTGAGGCTCAGGAGCTGACGGGTGCCATTCAGCCCGTTGGGGTATGCTTCATCAGTCATTGAGATCATCCTCATCCTTTTGGAGCAGCTCAGTGGTTGGCACCAGGTCCCCGGGTTCGATTCCACCCTCGGGTGTCTGTGTGGAGTTTGCACGTTCTCTCCGTGTCTGTGTGGGTTTCCTCCCACAGTCCAACAATGTGCGGTTTAGATGGACTGGCCATGCTAGATTACCCCATAGTGCGCAGGGATGTGCAGGATGGGTGGGTTAGCTGTGGGAAATGCAGGGTTGCAGGGTTACAGGGATAGGGTTAGGGGGTGGGTTTGGGTTGGATGTTTTTTTTTTGGAGGGTCGGTGTAGACTCGATGGGCTGAATGGCCTGCATCCACACAGTAGGGATTCTATAACCAGGATCCAAGGAGTACAGATTTCCAATTTTTGAAGGGTGGGTGGTTGAATGTGAAGAATGTTTGTTTTGTTTTTTTTCTGCCTGTGTGCATTAATGATCTGGGATGTACCGTGCTCGGGGGGGAAATGGGGAGTGGGGATTGCTGGAGAGAGAAAAATCAGATGGACATTTGAAGAGTATAAACTTACGGTGGGGGTGGGGCCGGTGGCAGTCACCCCAGAGCACAGCAAGCTCCCACAAATGGCAGTGACCAGTTGCACAATTGGTGGCTTCATCCAGTGGTCATCGAGGTCTCCCTGCCTGCGGAGTGAGGATGGGAGAGTTGCTGCCAACGTGTACTGGGTGCGAACCAATCCAACCCGGAATTCGGGAGAAACCTCCTGGAATATGGAGTGCGGAGTGCCCCACAGAGAGGGGACACTGGACAAAGGCTGACCGGAGAAGGAAGTGTTAGGGGATCTGCTGATGGGCAGAGACTTGTGTAGAGCTACGGTAGCCACGAAGACAAGATGGGCCGAGCGGCCTGCTTCAGTGCTGAAAGCTTTTCACGTTCTGATGTTTTTGCTTGCCAGTTACGATGCTGCAATTGACTTATTCACACACTCCTGCGCCGGTTACTGTGTGGCCACATTCATCCTGGGGATTGGAGACCGACACAACAGCAACATCATGGTGAAGGATGATGGCCAGGTGAGCGGGCTCGGGGGGGCGGGGGAGGGGGGAGCGGGAAGCGGTGTGGTGGGAGAGTCACATCCTGAACAAACTTAGCGGCGGGCTCAATGGGAGCGCGAGCGTTTTGGTGAAAAGGTCACAATTGGCATTTGTTCGTGAGGTTAGCTGTTTGTGTTACTGACCTGGCCAGCCTTTACAGCCCGTCCCTACCCGTTATGAATCTGCCACATGTAGGCCAGGCTAGAGGAGCACAGCAGACCTCCTTGACTATAAGACATCCGTGTTGCCGAACAAACGAACCCAGGGGTGCAGCTTTGCAGTTACTTGAAAGTGGAGTCTCGGGGTAGACAGGATAGTGAAGAAGGCTTTTGGTACGCTTGCCTTTATCGGTCAGGATGTGGAGGTTGGACAAGGTCATAAATCACACAACACCAGGTCCTGGTCCAACAAACCTGCTGGACCATAACCTGGTGTTGTGATTTTTTGACTTTTGTTGGTCAGTGCATTGAGTATAGGAGTCGGGAGGGCATGTTGCAGCTGTACAGGATATTGATTAGGCCACTTTTGGAATATTGCATTCCATTCTGGTCTCCTTGCTATAGAAAAGATGTTTTTAAATTTGAAAGAGTGCAGAAAAGATTTGCAAGGATGTTGCTGGGGATGGACTATAGGGAGAGGCTGAATAGGCTGGGGCTATTTTCCCTGGAGCATCGGAGGCTGAGGGGTGACCTTATAAAGGTTAATAAGATCATAAGGGTCGTGGATAGAGTGAACAACCAAGGTCTTTGCTCTGGGGTGGGGGAGTCCAAAACTAGAGGGCATAGGTTTAAGGTGAGAGGAAAAAGGGACAAAAGGGGCAACTTTTTCACACAGGGTGGTGCGTGTATGGAATGAGCTGCCAGAGGAAGTGGTACAATTACAACATTTAAATGGCATCGGGATGGGTACATGAATAGGAAGGGTTTAGAGGGAAATGGGCCAAATGCTGGCAAATGGGACTGGATTAATTTAGGTTATCTGGTCAGCATGGATGGGTTGGATCGAAGGGTCTGTTCCTGTGCTGTATGACCGACTGTAGTCAGCCAGGTGGGTTTCTACAATAGTTGATGTTGACCATGTAACCAACTAGCTTTTTAGTCCAGATTTTTTGTTTTTTTTTTTAGTTTGAATTGTAACTTCACTACCTTCCATGGTGAGATTTGAACCCATGCCCCTAGAACATTGGCACTTGGGATTACATGTGTTGCTCCTTGTATTAATGTTGGTTCTCTCGCCTCCTTCCAGCTATTTCACATCGATTTTGGCCACTTCCTCGATCACAAGAAGAAGAAGTTTGGCTACAAACGAGAGCGCGTGCCTTTTGTTCTGACACAGGACTTCCTCATTGTCATCAGTAAGGGTGCTCAGGAGTGCACCAAAACCAAGGAGTTTGAGCTGTAAGTGTGGCTCCCGTACTGTGTCAAATTCTCATCTGATCCCTTTGTTTGGGAGACTCGCCCCTCTGAAAGAATCGGTGAATTTCCAGTATAGGAAAAGGAAATTGGGGCCCTTCGCATCTGTACCAGCTCCTGAAAGAGTTTCCCACCCGTTCCCATTCTCCTGTCCTATCTCCCTCTCAATTCATCCCTTTTCAAAAGTGCATCCAAGTCGTGTTTTTTTTTTTTTTTTTTTTTTTTTTTTTTGAAACTTCCTATGGAATCCACCCCCATCACTACCCAAGCAGCGCATTCCAAATCCTAACACGGCTGTATCAAGAAGTTTCTTCTCATCTCTGTCCTGGTGCTCTTGCTGACGGCTTTGAAATTGTGACCCCCCCTCCCTCAATTACTGACATACTAACTAGTGGGAATAGAATATCCTTCCAGCATTTTTGTGTTTTCAGAACATAGAAGTCCCAGCGGGTCAGGTAGTATCCTTGGGGAGAGAGAAAGCTAATGTTGAATCTAGACAACTCTTCATCGGAGACCCTGCTAGGATGCCTGTAATTTTAGTCCCATGGACATCTGAGGTTTGCACTGGTGACTGTAGAAACTGAACGTGGGTGGGTCAGTATTATTGAGTGGTGTGTGCAGCCCCCTCCCAGTGGCTCAGAGGGAAATTGCTTCTCCTCCTCTTTTATCTAACACCCTGCAGCCAAGAGTTCCCTCTAATTCCACCCCCCACCCCTTCTGCACAAACCTGTGAGGTCTGTGTGTGGCTTCAGGAGCTGGATTTCAATCAGGGTGCAGACCCGGGAACGTCTGAGAGCCTGTACATGGGCGCAGCTTAGAGGAAAGGTGCGTATGACCTTCCCAGACTCTTCTGTATTCCTGTATATTCCCTCCCCACCACCGCCCCGCCCTGGCAGCTGTATTTTCAACAGCCCGAGTCCCAGACTTTGGAATTCTCTCCCTAAACTCACCCCCCACCACCTTAAAACCGACCCTCCTCCTTCATTCCAGGCTTGCAGCCCTTCTGTCTGTTTCTGCGCTTCACAAATGCAAGTTGTTGTTGGTGGGCTAGGGGTCGAAGGTATTGTGTTGGTTGGTTACTCACCACGTGTGGTTGCTTTCTGTCTCTTCCCAGGTTCCAGGAAATGTGCTACAAAGCGTACCTTGCCATCCGACAGCACGCCAACCTCTTTATCAACCTGTTCTCCATGATGCTAGGCTCCGGTATGCCCGAGCTGCAATCCTTCGACGATATCGCCTACATCCGCAAGACCCTGGCTCTGGACAAGATGGAGCAGGAGGCCCTGGAGTATTTCACCAAGCAGATGAACGATGCCCACCATGGCGGATGGACCACCAAAATGGACTGGATCTTCCACACCATTCGCCACATGCCCTGAATGGCCAGTCGACCAGGGGAGTCGGTGCAGACTGCATGTTCTCTGAAGTCAGTGGCCCTGCAGGCAAGGGACCTGTCGTTTTATTGACTTGAATTTGAGTTACCTTGGACACCAGGCAACATTCCTACCCTGGGGATTGTCTGTAACCAATCTCTTTCTAACACTATCTTATTAACCTCTGGTTACCAACTAGGAGTTGAACTCTGAATTGGGTCTGGGTGAAATTTTCTTTCCTCTCTTTTTTTCTTTCTCCCATTTTTCTCTTCCCTTTTTCCCCTGTCTCTCACTCTTCCTCCCTTTTTCCTTTTTATTTGTCCTTTTTCCCGTCTCCCTTCTCTCTTTATCTCCTTTTTTTTCTCATCTCTCCTTTCTTCTCGCTGTCTCCTTTCTCTCTTTCTCTCTTTCTGTCTCTGGAAGATGGACAGTTGAGGATTGGCCTAGACCAGGTAGAAAGTGGACATGAGACTATATTCTATCTCCAGTGACATCCGCAACCTGGGAATGATGGAGGTCCTGAGGCCAACTCGCAGCGTTGGAAGGAGCTGAGACACACGGAGGGGTTTTGTTTGGAGGTCTGTCTACACCAACCAACTCCCGCCCTCCCGGTGGTCTCACATTGAGCTGCTGGCCTGGAGTGAGGGGGGGGGGGGGGGGAAGATACGGGCCGGGGGGAGGAGAGGAGAGGGGAAGGGAGAAGGAGAACCCTCCACCCATCCAGGAACACCTGGTGCGTGTGCACCCGGGGAAATCCTCCCAGTGACTCCTTCAGTGATCCTCCTTTCACATCCTCGTGGATCCCAGATCTTGGCAGGAACTGCGTCAGGTTTTGTGAATTGGGGTGAGGTTGGAGGGGGGTGGAAATGGAGGTGACAAAGTTTTTTTGAGGTTTGCTGTTGGTGTGTAGATGGTGGGCAACGGTTGGTCATGGGGCAGGGTGGTGGTTGGAAAGCTGTGGCCATTCGATGAGTGAGTGAGCTCTGCTGTTCTGCTTGTAGCTGGTTCAGTTTATTTTGTTTTTTTTTGGAGGTTTATCATTGAGGCCTTTTTGTCAGGTTTGTGATTGTGAACCTTCTTTTTCTCTTTCCCCAACCCCCCTCCAAAAATTTTCGCCCTCAGCCCCTGTTTTGTTTCTTTTTATATTTTTGGTACAAAGTGCCAACCACTACTACTACTTCTTCGGTTTTACTTCTATTTGTCATTTAACACTAACCGCTTCCCCCTCTCTTCCCCCCCCCCCCCAAACCGAGCATCCCTGAGCTGGCGCCGACATCCTTTCCTGCCTTTCTGTTTTTTTTTCCCCTCCAATCCCTGCACACACTTTTTTTTTTCCGAATAACTCACCCCACACCCCCAAACCACATCATCCCCAGGCTGATCCGAACTATTCGACAGGGGAGGAAAAAAAAAAAAAAAACGATATTCCCTCGCCCCTTTCGCAAGCCGCCGTATGCAGAAACAGAGAAAGTAGGTTCAGGAGCAGGCCACTCGGCCCTTCAATCGTGCCATCTCGATCTTCTGCTCGCTCCCGCTTACTCTCCGTTTTAACCCACACCCCCCACCTCAGTCCCTTCAACCATGAGGGTCCCGTCCAGCTCCCTTTTCAACATAAAATCCTCCCCCCACCCACCTTGTTCTTGCTCCCCTCAAGATTTGGAAATGGATTCTCCCTCTCTACTCTGTCCAGCCTGCGCATGAAGGAAAACGTGTATCTTTCTCGCTCAGTGTGTACCCCCAGCAAACCCCACCCCCATCCAGCTGGACAGGTTGAATGAAGAAGCTTATTTTCGCTCCTCCCTTGGTTTTAAAAACAAAACACTAATCAGCTGCTTGTCTCTTTTATCCCCATGGTTTGGAAGCAGCGCTGTCCACTGGACTGAGCTCACTTCCCAGCGGAGTACTGTACTGACAAGCATTTCAACTGTGGTTTATTTGGGGGGGGGCGGGTGTGGTTGGTGGACACTTGCGTTGGGGAATATCGGCCACGCCATTTGTCGAGTTGCATCGAGGCAGCTCGGGTGCTAACATTGGTCAGTGAATTGCAGACGCACTCTGTGCATTTCTGAGAAACGAGGGGTTTGGGGATCTGAAAGAAAACCCCTAGCAGGGTTAGACCACGACAGGAAGGGGGTTCCTGATGACTGGGGAGCCCAGAATTCAGGGTTTGGGGGGGAGGGGGTCACAGTCTAAGGATACAGGGTAGGCCGTTCAGGGCAGAGGTGAGGAGAAATTTCTTCGCCCACAGAATGTGTGGAATTGTCTGCTGCAGGGAAATGGTTGGGGGGTGCAGCATTGAATGTCCCCAGGAAGGACTTGGGGTTAAAGGCGTCAAAAGTTAGTGGGAGGTTGGGGGGCAAAGCAGGAACAGGGGACTGAGTTGGATGATCAGCCGTGATAACGAATGACAGAGCGGACTTGAAGGCCCTACTCCTCCTCTTCAATGTTTCCATGGAGGTGCAGGAGATGAGTGAGCTTTCTGACAACAGAATGTAGGACCTATGTAGGAGCCCAATGGGTCTGATTTGTCGTTCAATTTGATCACTGCATCAACCAAGATCCTAGCTTCTGTTTCCCTGCCTTTTTCTGGTTTTTAACCCCTGATTCCCTTTCTTGTGTGGGGTTGGCTCTCGATCAGGATTTCTGACCTGGGGGAACGGATGGATTTGGGCTCTGACAGGAGGGGACCCGTGTTTTTCCCCCACATTACAGAGACAGTACCTACAATGAAGATGCCTTTTTACTCACGGCCCCTCCAGAAGGATGCAGAAGTGAAGCCTTTCTCTTTGAGTTTTAATCACAAGTATGTGCACTATGGAGCAGGTATCTACTTGTATAAGCTGGTTCCAATTTAAAATTGCATTGCCGAAATGAAGAAGTTCTGTTATTTCACAAAGCTGCTGGTAGAGGAACACTCCAGGGGAATGCATTGCCTGGATTCAAGCCCTTGAACTGAGGTCATTAGATTTTTGCTGGGATCAATAAGAGATGTGACTTATAACCAGAATTGAGGCAGCTATGTTTCTATTGAATGTTGGGCCGGACTTGAAGGGCTGAAGGGCCACCTCATATTCCTGTGTAACAGGCTTAGCTGGGGGCTGAATGGCCACCACCTCCTGTCTGAAGAGCTGCCTGTTCTGATCTCCTGGAACCAAGAAGTGAAGTGCCATGCCACTCTTCGTTTGGCACACCAACAGCCCATTCAGATTTTCTGACAGAGGCACTGTCGTCCGACCACACAATCCTGGGAGGTTTCATTTTCGCCATGTGTGTTCGATTGGGCCCTCCCTATGGGTTGTTAACTATTGGGTTTGTTTGTTTTTGGTTTTCCTGTGAAGTCTCCCTCTGCACTGCGAGTCGGTAACGCTGACCGATGCCTGAGTATTTCTGCAAAGGATCTTCCACCAGCTGAATCTTCCCCAGGACAGGGGAGAGCTCTTTCCCATGTGTCCCAGATAAATATCCATGCCTCAACTTGCTGCACACTCGGTTTTAAACCGGGTGAGGCCTGGGTTGAAATGTGCTCGGCTGAGTCCGGGTCCCCCTTTGACACTAATAATCCCCCTGATTCAAGACTGCATCCAGAGAGCTTGTAATAGAGATTCTGACTGGTAAGGTTCCTAAAAGATTAGACACTACCCCAACTGGAGAGAGTCTACGATTTCTGTAGTCCCCTGTTTTTTTTTTTTGTTGGAAGAGCATGCACTAGAACAAGGGAAGTTTTCCTCATGCAAATCTGACAATTAGTTTATACTTCAGTACTTTTGTGTTTTCAGAGACTGCACCTGCCCCCCCCCTCCCCCAGCCCCTGTAGGTGGGAAGCTTGACTGGTCTAAGGTGGGACTAGCTGGAGTGAATGTGAGACCTCTTGACTGGGGTAAATGAGAGTTTACAATGAGTAAGTGATGTCTTTGGGTTTGGGGGGTGGGAGGGGTGGAGAATGGGGTTCGTGTGGGGGGAGGAGGAGGCTGCGGGAATGTTAAACAAGGGCACAACAAGCTTCTCTTGGGTTAGTTTAGAGATACCGAGTGTGGAGTTGGGAGCTCAGACTCGTGCAAGACTCTCTCTCTCATGATGTGGCACGTTTCCATCGACATCTCACCCCTTCACAGACTTTATGGGCAACTGCTCATTCTTGTGAGCCCAGTGTGGGATATTCACCTGTGGTGGTGTCACAGCTTAAACACTAGTCCTTTTCTGAAATAGCACATCTTCCTGAGCAGGGTGCTGCAGACCAGAGCCCTAAGGAGAGGAGAGAGCTTTACTCTGTATCTGACCCCGTGCTGTCCCTGTCCTGGGAGTGTTTGATGGTCAATGTGCATGTTTTGCATTGCTGATGTTGCTAATCCTCCCTCCAATTGGAGACAGGAGTTGCTCCCACTGAGTATTGAAGGGTCCCTCCTGACCCCTCAATCTCCTCTTGGTGCCACAGAAATGAAGCATTGACACATTCTGAGAGAGTAGGAACTTGAATGAACCAACTGGTGACAATAAGGGCTGGTAGCTGGAGCGATCTTAATCAGCTTATCACCTTCACCCCATCGCGTTTCCTCCCAGCTACTGACCACCCCTCCTCCTTTGAGAGGGCGTGAGCAGGAAGAGGAGCTAAGTGTTAGATAGTTGTTTATGTTGAGGGTGGGCAGGGCTGGGATGTTTGGGGGGAAATGGGAGGAACCAGGCCCCCACGTGCGTCATGGGAGGAACCTTCTGTACTTTTTGGCTAGGTGCAACTGTTGGGGATTCACTAGGAGCTTGAGCTGTAGGCCTTGTCCTCCTCCTGACCGCAGCAAGAAGCTAACATATTCTCCTCCAATAGCAACGGTTTGCAGAATTGACCTCTGGCTGCCTGCTCTCCATCCCAGAATTCCCAGATTGCTGCTGCATGTGTGCATGTGCTAGGAATAATGATAGGGATTGTCACTGACTGGGGCGCTGTAACTTTTTAATATATATTCTGGGTTTTCTGCGTGTGTGTGTGTGTGTGTGTGTGTGTGCGTGTGTGTGCGCGCGTGCGTGTGTTTATTTTTTCATTTTCAAAGATCTGTGCACATTAATCGGGATTTGGATGTCAGTGTGAATGAAAGTCCTGTGTAAACTCACAACAGTTTGTTTGTTTGTTTGTTTTTGTTTTTTTTAATTTTAAAAAGAATTGTATTTGCACTTTGCAAAAAAAAATGCTAGAACTTGTACAAATGTAAAGTCAGACCAAATGTACTTATGCCCCTTTGGGCCCCACATGGTGTTTTAATAAAACCGTCAGCTATTGTTTTAAGTTCTGTTTGACTTCTCGCATTTGTGATTGCCATGTCTCGGCATGTTAAATTTAATTTGCTCACGGGATGAGGGCATCGTTGGCCAGGCAGCATTTATTGCCCATCCCTAGTTGTCCAGAGGGCAGTTAAGAGTCAACCACATTGGCTGTGGGTCTGGAGCCACATGTAGGCCAGACCAGGTAAGGATGGCAGTTTCCCTCCCTAAAGGACACTAGTGAACCAGATGGGTTTTTCCAACAATCGACAATGGATTCATGGTCATCATTAGACTCTGAATTCCAGATTTTTACTGAATTCGGATACCGCCATCTGCCACAGCAGGATTCGTACCCAGGTCCCCAGAACATTACCTGAGAGTCTCTGGAT